GTTTGTGACAGTATATGTGTTAAGAATACTAAGATCCCCTCGGGTAATCAGCAAGGGATTCCATGTTTCTAATAATGTTACTTGGATATTCGCATACGCCAGGCGCAAGTTTTGAATAATCTCAAGTAGCGCATTGAATTGCACACGTTTAGTTAGTTCCTAACAGATACGCTGTTGTGGGATTAGGCTTTTTTATGTGCCTATTTGGGACAGTATATGTGCCCAGAATACTAAGATCCCCTCGGGCAATCAGCAAGGGATTCCATGTTTATAATGATGTTACTTGGATATTCGCATACGCCAGGCGTAAGTTTTGAATAATCTCAGTTGCATACCTTCATTTAGTACCTATTCGATGTGTGCTATTCTCCAGAAAAAATGCATCTACGTTTGCGCAGTAACAACTAAATTTGCTTCAAAAATTTGCGCTAACAGTGTTGCATCATGACTCCCTCCTAGGTAGGCCATGTAAATGGTGCGAACTGGCTTATATAAGGCTGCTGTGTCAGTGTTGTCAGCCAGTATGTAGATCCAGTGTTGTGCAGCGTCGTGTTACGGTGGACCCTACTACCCCTAAGCCATCGCCAAGGAACCGATAACCTAGTCCGACAAGTCGGGGGATACCCAGCCAACGAGCCAACTAGTTACCAACAGAGGATGATCAGCCACTAAATCCGAGCCCAACATTTACAGTGTTATCCAATTTTTTAATGGCGTTTGTATTTGAAAAAATCAAAAACCATTAGGGTACAACGTTGGAATAGAAGGGAAGACCACGAAATCAGGAGGTGAATGAGATAGTGGAGAGCATATGTAGTAAAAAAATGTTCAGGAGATGTAATAAAGACCTGTAGGAAGGCTAAATGTAAACTTGGCTCTCTGTGTTTCATCCTTAAGCTGCAAACACAGACAATATTCGGTGTGGTTTGGGGTGGGAATCATCAGTACAGCCCTCAATCCACCATTTGGAAAAGTTGATAACATATATGCAAAGTAGGCGAAGAGCATTAGAAGGAAAGGAGGAGAGGAAGCTTTGCTTGTCTTTGATACTTCGATTCTGGATATTTAAATAGTTGGGTAGTCTAAGACAGTTGTTGATTCATACTCTGTTTTCTTCAGCAATGCCTCTGACAGTTCTCCAGTGCTAAGAGTTGCGTGGTGGCTAGCCTTTCTCGTCTTCTCGATCCTGGAGCATTGGCATGGATGGATTAATATTTTAGATTATTTTACCGTCATTTTTAATAACTAGGTTTCTGATGCAACCATTTCTTTTTCCAGTTTTTCGTTATCGCTTGTCGATTCGCTAGATACACTGGTCGTCCTGGATGAACTGGAGGAATTTGAGAGTGCCGTGCAACGGGTCATTAACAATGTGCGTTTTGATTCAAATTTGGTTGTATCGGTTTTCGAGACAAATATTCGCATGATTGGAGGATTGATATCAGGTAAATCGCTTCGCTTTCTTAACTTTCGACGAATTGCTTGACAGAAAACATCTGAATCTCATTACTTTGAAGGTTGAGAGTTCGATTCCGCTATGAGACAATTGTTCCTTTAACGATTTCTCCATTTAGCTCGATACTAAGTTGGTAGCGGCTGGGCCAGGGAATTAAGATCAACATCAACTTACTTTTAAACAATCCACAAAAGAGGGAGCCATCGATAGCCTTATCGGCGACTGATTATTGTTGGTGTATGCTACCACTTGGGCTACTTTCGTGCTCTCGATGTCGTGCAGAGAATGAGTATAAAAATGGTTTTAACTTGTTTTTACACTGACCAACTGTCAGTTCATCGTGGCTTTTTTGCTTGGTATAACGTCTAGAAATCCATCCCCCCTCCCCCACTTTCCTTTTTTTCCCTCTTTTTCGAGCTGTACACATTCACATGGCTTTGTTTGATGTCTTTTAAAAGAATTTTGCTATCTAACCAATGTTTTTTCCGCTGTTTGCATGGATATCATTCAGTAATTCGTTTTGTCCATCTGTTGTCTCTCGTTCCTTCCATGTGACCCGTGTATTTCTTCTGACATTCACTGCCTTGATATTATCGCTTGTGCCAGGGCCGAAATCGCTATACTTAAGTGGATATGTGTTGTGACGCTTATCATCTATAGTTTAATGTGTAGTTAGGGTAATGACGATAGCGGTAATGACGATATTGATGGTATTTTTGATAATTTGATCAGCTGTTGTTTCATCGGCTTTTTTCCTCAACAGAATGGAGTAAAAGGCAAAGTGGGCTCTGAAAACTGTGTGATTTATTTAAACCTATATGTGGTACTATTAAAATTTCAGGTCACGTCATGGCTAAATTAGTGCAGGCAAGAGAAGAGGGTATATTAGAATGGTACAGTGACGAATTGCTACAAATGGCTGCTAACTTGGCTGATAGGCTTTTGCCAGCTTTCAACACGACAAGCGGAATCCCATATCCGAGGGTAATTTCCCAGCATTTTTTATTAAAATATAAAAATAACATGGATTTCGTTTTATTAAATAGCGAAAAAGTTATTTTTCTTTTTTTTATTTCTCAAATTTGTGTACTTTGGGAATTTTTTGGCATTATATAAAGACTAAGGGGAGGTTGCCAGCTATGCTGATGACGCAGATGTACACGAATGGTCATGAATCAGTAAAAATCTAAGTATATGATAGCGGTAATGGCAATATTGATGGTATTTTTGATAATTTGATCAGCTGTTGTTTCATTGTTTCGTTTTCTTTTGTCATTTGCGCAATTGAATTTTTGATCTTGAGCCTTTTTCACGCATACGGCGATCAAACGGGTTTTTCCTTTTGTTCTTTTAACATTGATTTCAATGATCATTTAGATAGACTGGTATAAAAATAGTTTTAGCGACTGGACGCGATGAATTTGTGTGGGTATTTTTTTTTATTTGATTTAAAATTATATATTTTATTCCACAGGAAACATGAGTACATTAGTTTTTAGATAAATCTGAAATATGGAATGTTGGATTTTCTCCGAGAGCAACGCGATACGTGTACAGCTTGTGGCGGAACGATGATCCTTGAATTTGCCGCATTAAGCCGACTTACGGGTAATCCAATATATGAGGAAAAAGCACGAAAAGCAATGGATTTTTTGTGGGCACAGAGGCATCGCGGTACGGATTTGATGGGTACAGTTTTGAATGTTCATTCCGGAGACTGGATACGGCGAGGTAAGTGTATTATCTTCTAAGAGAGTTATTTGCTTTTTTTTGCGTTTATGCACATTATGCAAATGCAAAAAAAGAATATTGGCAAGAGTCTGTCTGTGTGTGTGTGTGTTCGCACTTTTTGTCACCCACTTTCAACACGAGAACCAGAAAAGCTAGAAAGCTGAAACTTCGAGTGTATGTGCCCATTCCATGTGCTATCCTCTCGTTTTAATAGCATCATCCGCATACGCTTGAGTCCCACGTATGGATACCTCAAAAATATGCAAATTTTTTTGGCGGGAGATGATCTCAAGAACCAAAAAAGATTGAAGCTAGAATTTCGTAGAGATATTCTATTTCCTAATATGGGCTAGAAATTTCAAATTCAGCTTTAACGCATCTACGCATTTCATGTACGGGCATTCAAAGTTGCCTTGGCAAAATGCCATTTCAAGAACTAGGTTAATCAGAATCTGCTAGCTTTGTGAGAATTTTTATTTTCCATAATTGGGCATGTAAGCATAAAGTGATTCTTGGCACACGCCAATGTCGCGAGTTCCGATGCGTTAAAAATTTCGCGTAATAAAAGCGATTTCGCCAGCCAAACATACTAGAGAGCTAAAGCTTTTCGCGAATGTTCTATGTCTGTGTGTATCCGCAGTATTTCAATTTGAGGTTTAAAACACGCCTAGCTCTGTGTATTTCCCAAGTAAAAATTTTGTTCTGGCCTTGCTGGCACCCAAATCGGTAACCAAAATGAGTAGGAAACAATATTTCTCTGAGCATGTTTGCTGTTCATGTGTGGGCTACCAAGTATAAGATGAACTTCTGCCTAGGCTTGGGCCTTGTGTACAGGCCTATCAAATGATCAAATTGCAACACCGCATTTACAATTCAATAGTACAGGCGGCTCCACTATAGAATGGAATCATGCAAAAACGCATGATCGCACCGGTAAACATGGCGCGTCGCAGCGTGGGTTTTTCTCGTTGTAGCGCATTTTTGTTTATTCCATTGTCTAGCTGTTGTGCAGGGTGAAACATTATGCATTAAAATTCGCTGGGCAGAGCACGTATTTATTTGATTTGTTTGCGTCAAGGATCAGTTACCATTTAACGGAAAATTGTCTGTTTAAGCGATCTTTCTGTAGGTGCCGTAGGTGGTTGATGCTTAACCACTCGAGTGAGGCAGTCCAGTTCAGAATGAATGGGGAACGGCCGTGGCCAGTAATCCTGGTGGTAACTTAAAAAGGATGAAAAAATGAGGGATTAAGAAAGTGTCAAAAGTAGTAGAAGTGAAAAAAAAGCCGACAGCAAAGCTATGCCTTTTGGCCCTGATAATTGTATTGTTAATGTCATCACTATTAAAAACCTTTTTTTTTTATATATATACCACTATTATATATTACGAAAATAGCAAAATTAATAATTCGATATATCACGATCATGATTATTACCTCTTTTTTGTTTTTGTCATAACGGAGAAATTTTGTTTCAGATGCGGGCATTGGTGCTGGGATCGATTCATATTATGAATACTGCTTGAAGGCATATATTTTACTCGGTGATGAGGATTATTTGTACCGTTTCAACAAGGTATTTATTCTTTTCCATACATACTAAGAAAAAATTCTAATGGGATAATTATATTATAAATCTTAAAAAGTAACAACAATACTTTAATAATAATAATATTTTGCTATTTTAATAATAATAATATTTTGCTAATAATAATAATAATAATAGCTATAGTTATAATAATAGTGATAATAGTAATAACAATAATGATCAAAATATTAAATGGAAAAGTAGCAAAATTAATAATATAACGAAATACAATAATAGCAAGTACCTCATTTCTCATGATTTTTTGGAGGCAAAAATGATTATGTTTTTTCAGCACTATGAAGCTATTATGAGGTATGTCAACAAGGGGCCTCTGTTTATTGATGTACATATGCATAAACCAACAGTAGCAGCTAGGACATACATGGATTCGTTGTTGGCGTTTTGGCCTGGCATACAGGTGTTGAAAGGCGATCTGAAGGCAGCAATCGAGTTCCACGAAACGCTTTATCAAGTCATCAAGGTAGGACAACGTATTACTGTACACCGCGCCCTGCGTTGGTTTTACAGCATTTTTTACGGGAATGAGTTTTTCAGAGGCACAAATTTCTCCCAGAAGCGTTCACGCATGACTTGCAAGTTCACTGGGCCGAGCATCCAATTCGTCCCGAATTCATCGAAAGCACGTACCTGTTGTATCGAGCAACCAAAGATGAGCACTATCTTCGAGTGGCCAAAGATGTATGTTGACGTAACGTACTTTAATTCATCTGTGACGTACTGGTTTTCTGATTAATTTTTGTTTTTAGACTTGTTTCTCCGTGTTCTTAAGCTTTTTTGCTGTTTTCCAGTTTTCTTTTAGTGCTGTTCCTTTTTGTGGGTTTTTTATTTTTTATGGTTTTTTTATTGATTTTCTAATTTTTCCTTTTTTTGCATATCTTTGGATTTTCAATCTCTTTGATTT